CCTTTGGAAGTCGGCCATCGGAGCGCATTAAATGATAGCAGGCAATTGATTCCCATCATTTTCCTCACTGATGTCATCGTTAGCTTGTTTGGTTTTTACACGGTTAGGTTCTTATAGTACGCGTTATTTTTTCTTTGTTTTTTTTTTTCCTTTGTTCATTGGTGGTTTTACTAGTTTGTTATGATGTTTGCCTTTTAGTTTGCTACTCTTGAAGATTAGTTCATGGCTTCATGAGTGAAGCTGTTTGTTTGCTAAGTCGTTAGCTTGTGACTTTGTTAGCATGGTACTGAGGATTTTGGCTCGCCAGTTTTGCGAGTTGTTGAGTCAATTATTTCGCTGGTGGTGAGTTGCTGAGGTTTGTTGGATTTTTTTCGTGAGTTTGTTTGTTAAAAAGTGAGCAACTGATCATCAAACAAAACAAAATGCAACAGCTGTTGGGGAACACAAAGTAGCTCACGAGCCATCCTCGTGTTTTCTTGCTCAAAGGTGACAACAAATGTGTATTGATTTTCTTTTTTTAAGTGAAATATTGATTGAAGACGTCTGGATGGAAGACAGACCCTCAAATGTCGAATGAAGGTCTAATTTGGTGATGTAGAAACCTTTCATCGTTCCAGAATTGGAGGACATTCTCTGCTTCCCTACATTTCCCATTACCCATGCAGAAAATAGACAAACATGCACCTTGTTGGATAAATGAGCTTTGCTCTACACACGATTTAAGCCAAGTCCTCGCTTACATTTTTTGTTTACTTTTGGTGTACCGTTGAGGGTGGCGCTGGATGAATCAAATAATGTCAAGAATTTTTGTACAAAATGTCTTGAAGCGGTCTACACTTTGGGGCACAACCGCGTGTGGAGGTAATCCAGTCGCTGAGAATTGTTTACTTTTTGGGGTACGTCAAGTTGAGTGGAAAAAGCCCGTTTGGGTTCAGGAGCAAAATGTCCTGCTGGTTCTGTGTGTCTACCCGTCGGGGCATCCAGTGGCGTGTGAGCCCTCCCAGACCTTCCCAAAGAGAATTTCCTGTCAAAACAGGGCAGCGCTGGCGAGACCTGAAGAAGTCCTGCTCTGTGTCAGACTCTCGGGCCGACCAATCCGGGCGCCCGGGGCTCGCTACCTTGCTTTACAAGGCCTTGAACGGAGCCATGGTCCTCAGAGCTGGCGACGCTTTGTTTGGACTTGAGGCACAAGCCGGGATGATGTGTGTCTCTGCCACACAGAACACCCCCCCCCCCCACACACACACACACATTCTTCCAAACACTCTTTGAATTATTAAATCTGGCCTGTCCACTCATCTACGTTCTGTTCTGACACCAACGGTACAATTTGTCTCGTAGCGCGGCGGGCTGTAAATAACCGCGAAGCTCGCTTGAAATTTGCACACCGCCGCTCAGTAAAAGACAAACAATCCGCCGCAATGCACACAACTGGCAGCACACACCGAAAGCCATTTTGTGAGGGCCGCCCTCACAAAATGGCTTTCGGCCACACAGGCAGATTTTATGCCTGTGAGTGTCGGGAGAGTTGGCGTGTTGTCGCTTTCTCATTGAGGCCACTTTTATCCTGTCCGGAGGAAATCAAGACCTGGATGGCACTAAATTTCTTGAGTTTCAATGAAAAGTAGAGAGAAGTGATGGTGGTTGGTCTCAGTGGGTCGCCTGGTTCCTTATCCTAAGCCAACAGTCTCCAACTTGGGCCTTAAACTGGAGAGTGATTTTCAATTGGACCTACAAATTGGTGCCGTTGTCCAATCCAACTTCTTTCATCTTCGGCAGCTGGCTAAAATCAAGCCTCTCTTTCTCACGAGCACTTTGAAACCGTCATTCACAAATTCATCACGTCCCGGCTGGATTACTGGAAGGCACTTCACTGTGGAGTGAGTCAATCCTCCATGAAGTGTCTCCAGTTGGTCCACAATGCTGCTGCTCGCCTCCTAACTGGAGCTCATAGGAGGGAGAACATCACTCCTACTCTGGCGTCCCTTCACTGGCTCCCAAAAGAGTTCTTCCGAAGATCCTGTGATTTGTTTTCCAATCTTGAAATGGCCTGACCCCACCTTCCCTCTCTGAGGCCCTACGCGCATGCCACGGTGCCTCAGATCTGCGGACCAGACTCTAGTCGAGGTACCGAGAACTAAGAGGAGGCTCAAAGGAGTTCCGTTGCCGATCCCTCTCTTTGAATGACATCCCACTGAACGTTACCGGTGGGCAAGCCCCCTCACTGCTTTGGCGGGTATGTTATGTTCTGCCAATTTTGCAGCTGTCTTGCATCGTCTAGGCATGTCGAACGCCGAAACTAAAGACAACACAAACAATCGTAGCAACATGCTTCTCTTAATTCGGGGCGTGGGGGACCGGGGAAATGATTGATACCAAAAAACAAACAAACAAAAAAAAAAAGTAACGGCATTTCAAGTTATTTTTCCAACCAAAAAGGTTTCTGGTAAGACATCAAAGGACTCCAAATGGGCTCTGGGATGTGGCCAGTTCCGAAAAGGATATTTATTCAGTAGAAACATCCAAATACAAAAAAACACAACCCCGAAAAACCAAAGAAACACTTTCACACATTTCTCTTGAGGAAGATTTCACAGTCATTAGATTTATTTAGCAAACAGCATGTGCAAACATTTCGTTTTAGCCACGGCGCCAACAACATAGCAGCTTTGGGACATGTTAAAAAAAAAGCGAAATGTTTATTAAAGCTAGGTGAAGGATAAAAGTCCAAAAACATCATCAGAGGACGTGACCTTCATCTCTCTGTAGGCTTTTTTTTTTTTTTGTCAGATAAGGCAACAAACAACATTTGTGCTCCTATCATCCGACTCACACCACAACACTGCTATCTCCGCCCACTTTCTGCATAGCTGTCGCTCATTCATTCATTCAGCAAGACTTTATCTATTTATTTTGTAGCCTTTCACTCCTCTTTCGGCTTTTTATCGGCATCGTGCGACTTCCTGCCTCCCTTCCAAAACATCTGCTAGACGGACACTTTATTAGGTACTCCCATGAATGAGAGCCGACAAAAAAAAAAAAGTGCCACTTTCCAGAGAAAATAGTTTTAACAGTAGCTTCATTACTGTTTTTTTGTAGTAGTTGTAATAGAAATGGCCCATGTCTTCCAACTTGATGAAGCAGGATGTGGTTCAGGTTCAGTTTGATGGTCTCGTTTTGGTCCGTGTTTTATGTTAACAGTTTTGTAAAGTGCTTTGTTACAGCTGAAGCTGTTGAGAAAGCATGATCCAAATAAAGACGTATTGATGTATTGTCTTTCTCCAAGGCAACTGTAAACAACTGCATATTTTGTACGCAGGGCGCCCTCGATGTTTAGGATATAGTGCTACCCTGATTTACAAAATATTCATCTTCATTGGAACAATCTGAAAGGCGACAACAGCTGTGTGCATGCTACGCTCACAATATCTCAACTCATTTCATCCCAGTTGACGACCGTTAAAGCGTCTCAGTAAAGAATTCACTATGCAACGTTTTTACATAATCACTGCTAGCTTCAGAGCTAGCAGCTAGCCCACCTCGTAATTATGTTGGAATAAACCGAAAGGCACAACAACAACTCTGCGCATGAACTATTTGTACTTACAGAAGCTGTCTACTATTTCACCAAATTCATTGTCGTTATTTTCCACTGTTTCGCGGTTTCCAGCTCCAGTTCCAGTTCGGACAAGAATTGCTTCCTTGGATCACCACGCTACATTTTTACGGAAAGGCCCACTAGCTCAGGTACTGAACTGAAGCTGCTACTACGGCAAATTTTTGTCCTGCAATAAAATAAAAATTAAAAAAAAATCAATCCAGCTTGGAATTTAAAAACTCATAACTTGGGCCACTTGAGGCAAGGTGCCACTGTCTACCGGATGGCAGTTTTTGTCTGAAGACCTTGTAAACTGCATTGCAAGGATCTCCTCTGTACAATCTTTCATCTGTCATGCACGATTTAAATGAAAAACAACTGTTGCTGTTTCCATCATGTTAAAAAAAATAATACAAATAGTGCTACAGCACGTACTTTATCGCACTGATAGCTGTTCCTAATATTTTGATGTTCCCACCTTTGTTTTTTGCTGCTTTTGAGTCACGTTGCTTTTATGTACCAATGTTTTTTTTTTCTCTGAGTGTCACTGGGATTCTTTGTTGATTTAAAAAACTTTTTTTTTTTAGCTCTGGCTCACTTGACGCCACCCGTATTGACTTTTTCCTCGCCTTCCACTGAAGCAATCACTCTATGTATATTTTTTCCTCTATTTGAATCGTATAAATGAGTTACTTTCCCTCCCCCTTCCTGTTCTGAGAAGTAGATTGCGGGAAAATCAGACAAATTCCTGAAATTAGTGCCGCTCATCTAATTAAGCTCCATTCCAAAGCTCCGGACGGACACGTTTCATTATTCACTAAGTCCTACCAGCTCAATTAAATGGCCAACTCTAATAATAGAGCTAATTAAAAAGGCAGCGCTGCATTATTAGCTTATGAGATTACATTGGAGAGGGCGTGAAAAATCGTTTGGCGAATGTTGGTGATATCACTACATACGGCGTAAAATAAAGCTTTGTTGCATACTGTACATCAACGAACAAATAAATAAAACAACGAAATATATATTTCAAGCAGATTTTTAAGAAAATAACAAAATTCGGCACCTCAGTTTATTCTAATGAGAAACCAAATTATCGAATCAATTAGCGACTTCATTGTGTCAATGCATATGTGCAAATAAAATGTGGTTCGGAAACAAGATGGCAAGAATAGAAAGGGCGCAAAACAAAAAGCCACCAAACAGGAACGCTTGAAAGTGGATAAACTATTCATCACCTGTAAACCTACGGTACCTACAACTAACTGTACTTTTAAGTCGATTTGGAAATCTGAAAACATCACAGCACCGCGTGCCTTTCTCCAAATGACACCATAAATAAGAATAGATGATCATGTTCTTTCTTTCTTTCTGTCATTCTTTCAATGGGTGTGCAAATAAAGTTACGTTCAAAACAAAATGGAGGAAATGGGAAGCCGGGCGTCGGGGGGTGGGGCTGACAAAGGAGCACTTAAAATTGGGGTAAGATTGTACAACATTTGACACTTATCGACTCTTTTGTAACTAAAATCGGTAGCAACAATAATATGACACCTCATTTCATCCAGAGGAGAAAAAAATATGAAGTATTCCATTAAGCCTTTGTCGTGCGAGTATATGTTAAATGGTGGCTTGGCAACAAAATGGTAGCCAAAGGTGGTAACGCTTTATTGATTAAAAAAAATAAATACATAAAAAAAGAGACTTCTCTCTTAATTTAGAACTCATAGCTAGTTAGCGAGTCATAGATGTTACTTAAGTTACGTCTTCATACCAGGTGTGCAACAAAAGAATGTTTTACGAATAATAGAGTTAGCATGTAGCACTTAGCATGTAGCACTCAGCTTTCAGGAAGGGAACAAACACGACACCCGACGTACAATCTAAAATCCGTGTCCAAAATCTTATTTTGCCTTGCGGTTTTTGGTTATGAATCAAATTGAAATTATTTGACTGCCTTCAACTGTTACAACCGAAAGAAATAGTGAAAATAGAAAAATAAAAATAAACGTCAGTCTGAACATTGTTTTGTGACTTTATTTTTGATCGGTGTCCACATTTCATTGCTGCGTAACGTGTTCAAATGATGCTCCAATTCCCTTGGCAACTGTTGTGTTGAGTTTTCAAACAAGCTTTCTATCAACTATCGTCTATTACGTACCAAATTTGGGGGGTCTTAAATATGTGTATGTGTGTGGTATTAGCTTCCAGGGTGGAGGTGAAAAAAAAAAAGACAGAACAAAGGGGACCATCCGTACTGAAGCTGAAGAGAGAAAATAATTGAATTCTTATCTTATTTTGCGCGACGGCGAGTCGTTTGACTGGCGGCCTTTGGTTTGTCGTCGTTAATTACTTCTCTGGCAGCGAGTGCGCAAGTGAAGGAAGCTACTTCAATCTGGAGGCTAAAAGTTGGTCATGTCGGTACAACCTCACACATTTTCTTTTATTGCACTTTTTTAACATCACTTTACTAAATCCATACAAACAAGTTGAATCTGTATTTTAATAAAAGTAATTTGGATTTTCAATGAGAATTCCCGAGTTCGCATTTTACAGTAATTCAGAAAAGAAGTCTTTCATTCACTCGACCATCTTCACTCTCGCATCACTTGTTGCTAATTAAGTGTAGTCAAACTAGATCGCCAACTAATGAAAACATGAGGCCGTGTTTTCACTCAACTTGGGTTGAACGAAGGTTCGTTTTGAGGTTATGTCCATGTATTGTTTGCATCAAAAGTCACCGGGCAGGCTCACATGTGCCCCAGAAATGAAAAATGCCTCCTAAACATCATCTGAGTTGAGTGTATCTTGACATTTTTGTCAAATTTGAGCTCTTTGGCAAATTGCACAAGTCAAACCTTTGTTATTTGTCGACACACCACGGCAGCCATCTTATTGAAATTTGAATTCTTTGGCAAATTGCATATGTCAAACCTTTATTTGTCGACACACCACGGCAGCCATCTTATTGTCTGAACAAAATATGACCGATTTCTTCTGGGATTAATTGTTGTCAAAACCGAACGTAAACGCTCAAGTTGTCCTGGTCTGTCTTTTTAGACGATTCGGCCTTAAGAATTGATGGTGTGTCAAAGTGGCGTCTGGTCGCGATGGAAACCTGACAGCCCAGGGAAAGAGCTCCCCGCCAGGCGAGGGACCTGTCATGATGATGTCATCGGTGGCGGTCGCCAAGGCGACGGCGACGACACCAGACTCATCTCACAAGGGCTGTGCTTGTCTGCAGGTAGACCGGGAGACGCATACGCATGTTACCATTTTTCCGTTTAGTTGCTCAGCAGCAAAATGCAAGCGTGGGATCCTTGTTGAATTCAAACACGGAAATTTTGTCATTTTGAATGATCTACATACAGTCATTGGGAATTTATTTATTTTTTTTGCAAAAAAAATAACACATTTGAGCTCTGGGCTCGATTAGTTGCCCTGGTTTCCTCGCCCTAATACAGTGAAACTCCTCAACAACGAAATCATGTTTGCAGCAAGAAATTTTTCACAACAGGGGGCTTTTCACTGCAGCAAATTTGATCTCAGATGTGTAGTGAATCTCATTGCTAGGCAAGAGTAGAGAAAAAGATTTCGTATAACGGAACAGGGGAACTTTTCGTCATTGGGAGAGCAGAAAAGTGGGAATGGCTTTCATGCATGAAATTTTTTTTCACATTAGAGGGTATTTTCGCCCATGTCGGTTTCGTTCGAGTTTCACATCATTTTTAGCATTGCAGTGAGGGTCATAGAGGAAAATTTGTGTGGCATGATTGTAGATTAGCATCTACCGCAGGGGTGTCAAAGTCATTTTTGTGGCAGGCCACATTTTAGTTACCGTTTCCCTTGGAGGGCCGTTATGACCGAAACCATCTAACGAAGTCACGAATAACTGTTGATTCAACTCTTGTTTAAGGTACTATCACGAGGGGTTTGGTCACAAGAAAATGCTTAGAATATCTCTCTTATTTATTACATGGGAGAATTTAAAATTTTGGTCGACATTTTAGAAAGCATCATGGAAGTTGACATGTCTGATCTGCTTATGTGTCCTCATTCAGAGGTTGTTTTTTTTTTGGGGGGGGCCGGTGTTTACTGGTGCAATTTGTAATCCGCGTGCGACCAATTTGTGGTCGTGTTAATCGATTTTAGCTGTAGAGATTTTATAAAAATCCAGTTTTGCTTTGATTTCTCTTTTATTTTTGTGCTAACTTTCATCTTGGAAATGCCAGGTTGTGCTAGCTAGCCTGACGTTCCCATTTTCTCATTTTCTGTCACTCATCCCAACTCCCCTAATCCCATATTATCACAATGTTTTTTTTCCAATGCACTTTCAAATAAAAGTACGACAGGAAAGAAGGCATCACATAGGCACATTTCTCGGTGGGATGCAAAGACGTCTCCCAGGGAGGATAAATATTTGGATTAATCCGTGTTTTCTCATGCAAACGCTGGCCAGCCTACGACTGGAGCGAGCAGAGGCGACGGCGGAGGCTTAACGAGATCACTCGGAGGCCGCCTGGTTTTCTCCCGCCGCCCATTGATGGAGTGTGAGCAGCGGCGGGGGGCGCGCACACACTCATGTGTGAAATGGACTCTTCACAGGTTTTCGAGGGAGGAGGGGAGGGGGTGGGCTTGGTCCTAATCCCCGCACCCTCTCTGGAGGCTTTCTTTTTCGGGTAGGGAGAGCGTCAAGTGAGGGCTGAGGTTGCTTATCCGCGGGGACGGAGATGACGATTTCATTAAGGACGCTCGGCTGGACGACAATGGCCGTGCAAACAATTCTACGAGCCGTTTGGGAAAGTGGAGCTCGTGCGTAATCTCGCGTAGACCTCCAGTGGGACTCCCGTCTGTTTCGAAGAATCCAATTAACGTTCGAGTCCCTGTGAATTAAAAATGGATCTGTTTTGAAAAATGTATACACCGCAGAGGAAGAAATTTTGAATGCTTGAAATAACTGGCAAGTATATCCAATGAGGCTCCAAAAATCAAGCCACTGTCTCCGCTGAAACGCTGCGGGCGCGTCCGCTGAATGAGCTGAAAGCACGCCCGGCTTAGCTGTCAATCAAAATAACTCGACTTCGACTTGGAAAAATGGATGCTGCTTCATCTTCATAGCTACCCGCGAGGCACTCGACACTGGCCGTCACAATCGACTCTCCCCCTTACCCCTGTGCTCCTCCGCCTTCTCTCAGTCATGTGCGTGCACTCACGGCTGACAACGAGGCACTCGAATGCGGTCAGACTAGCCCGGAGGTACTGTCATGCACTAACTGTCAAGTCAGACTTTTTTTTTAATTTTAATGTTTCCCTCCTCATTGTTCTTCCGCTGTTCTCTGCATAACATGCGTGTATTGATGGCCGACAACGAGGCGCTCTAATGCGGTCAGACTAGCCCCAAGCTACCGTGATACACTCACTGTCAATTCAGACGTTTTTGAAAACACGTTTTTGTTTCCACCCTCATTGCTTTTCCGTCTCAGTAACTCTGCTGTCCCTCCCTCACGACGACAGAAGAGCGAACAGAAGTGATGTTTCCTGGCTAACCCGACGGTGTGGTTTGTTTACACCGCTCGGCGCTATCAGGTGAGGAAGCGAGGCGCCAGAGCGCGCCAGATGGAAATTGACATCGGTTTCAGCGGTGGGAGAGCAATGGCGGGAGAAAGTGAGGACGGGAGGCAGACTGAGAAATGAACTCGAAGACGCAAAGAGACAAGAAAATACAACCGGCTCGAATGTCTTCAACACAACCTGCCACCTTGTCTCTTTAAATACGGCCTTTAATGGAGATGCTCTCGTCTCTTCTATTTCCTTCTTTTTTTGGGGGGGTGGCGGGGGCAATATCAGGGAAGACCTCCACCGTCTGAAAAGGAAGTCCATCGCATGGTGGCAAATGCACACCGTGGTAGGGCGCGTGCCTCTGCCTGTAGGGGGCAGCGGAGTCCTCCACTCCAGAATGCAGCAATGCCTCCAAACAAGGACTTGCCAAAGGTTTTCAAAAACCACTTTGACTCACTTCATCTTTTCTTTGGGAAACATGGAAAGAACAAGCTATGCTAAACAGCCCACAAAAAAAAAAAACAAAACAAAAATATCATCATGTGCCGAAGACGGCTGGGATAGGTTCCAGCACGCCCGCGACCCTTGTGAGGATAAAGTGGATCAGAAAATGGATGGATGGATGGACATAATTTTGTCTTCTCTTCAATAGTTTCTTTTTTGTGGCAACGTCAGTGTGTTTTTTATTTTTCTTTAATTTTTTTTTTTTTAAAGACATTAATCAGTCATTTGTCTTCTTTTTAACAAGCGCAACCGAAATATTTTCTAATTAGGAGGGTGCAACATCCATAGTTTGTCTTCTTTTTAGTAAAGTACAGCAATAATTTGTTTTCAGCCCTATTAAAAAAAACAAAAAACAAAATTAGGATACATCTTTTCTAAAACTTCTGCTCCTTATTTGTTCGTGCTAGAGAATAGAAAAAAAGTATTTTTGTAAAGTATTTTTTTTAAGTGGATAAACTTTTATCATCAGAGGAAAAAACAATATTGGATCATTGAGTCATGTAACATAGTTGAGGCATGCTGTCCACGAACACACACACACACACACACACACACAAAGTGTCCCCCGTGAGGCAGTCCTACATGCCCGAGGGAACGTCTTCATCTTGATGACAGGACAAAGCTTGAGCTCAACGGGTCATTCGGTGTCACCTCAATGGGACGAGTGCAACAATGAGCCCAGATAAGGACTTTTTTTGAGGCGGAGGGGGGCTAAGAATACTGCCCTGAGGAACTCCAAACAATGGCAATCATTTGGAGATGGGATCAGCTTCCAAGAAAACCTTTGTATCCAATTTGCAACACGCTGGAGTTTCTCATTAAGCGTGGAATTCATTTGATTCTCCTTGTCACAACAGTCCACTCGAGGATGGCATGCAGTGAAAAGACGTAAATGCGAGCGCCTTTCCAGTCACTGCTTTTCTGTTTTGTCAAATTACACTGATCAACTCAGCTTTTACTGCATATATTTTTTTAAATCAGCGATATTAGTCAACTTTTCTGGGTGAAGTTTTTGCACTGATTCCTAAACTGCCCTTGTTTTTTTTTTTTTTTTTTGCTCTAGCACCTCAGGTTTTCATAATAAAAAACAAGAATACATAATTAGTAATATGAAAAATAATTTTGATTCAGCAACCGGTGATTTTTTTTTCTTCTGAAACGTCAGCCGTAAAAAAAAAGGGTAGTAAAAATCTGTATTGTGCAACCCTTTTATAGGTCAAACTGAACCACAAAAATACCTCTAAAAACTGATTTGCGGGGAACCCCCGCCCCCTTTTTTTTTTTTTTAAACGAGCATGCATCCATCTATCCATTTTCTGATCTGCTTTATCCTCACAAGGGTCGCGGTGGGCGCGGGAGCCTGTCCCAGCCGTCTTCGGGCAGTAGGCGGGGGACACCCTGAACCGGTTGCCAGCCAATTGCAGGGCACACAGAGACCATCCGCGCGCACACTCACACCTAGGGACAATTTGGAGTGTTCAATCAGCCTGCCATGCATGTTTTTGGAATGTGGGAGGAAACCGGAGTACCCGCAGAAAACCCACGCAGGCCCGCGGAAAACACGCAAACTCCACACAGGAAGTCCGGAGCCGGGATCGGACCCACAACCTCTGCACTGTGAGGTTGACGCGCTAACCGCCGGACCACCGGGCACCCCCTTAAAATCAGCATCCCAAATTTTTTTAGGGACACATCTTTGATCCAAGTTTGCTGTGTTAACCAGTGTTAATTTAAGTCACTATAAAATGTAATATTAGTCCGACAGAAATGTATTCAAGGTCCCCCCCGACCCCCCATTGAGAACTACCGCAAAGTCTTACATAACATTGCCACTCTAATAGAAATGTTCTGCACACTCCGCCAGTCACTCATGAAACTTTCTTCTATGTCAAGACATTGAGTACTTTTGAAAAGGAAACTCCATCCTATTCCCGTTGGATGTCCTCCCATGGCCGCGGGATGCTTAATTGCAGCTGCGGTCTAAAGCCGTAAAAAAGCAGCCCAGTCCAGCAGTAAATCGCCGGCAGTTGAAAGCAAACATAAACCTGAAGACTATTTCAAAGGGCGCGAACAAGTCCAAAGTGTCAAAAGCTGCCAAGTCGTCCGTTTTCTTTTCAAATCAGCGTGAAGGGCGTCTTGTTGTTTCCTTTCACAACATGTCCGTGTTGTTGTAGTGAAGCGGCGGCCGTCACCTCTCACCGCAACGCACTCGACGCGCTCGCCCTGTCAGCACTCGTGTACGAAAACACAAACGCTACATCCACGTCGCTCACATCTCTCTCTGGTGGCCTTGTGACCCGTCGTTAATGGCGGCCGTTTGGCCTTCATTGGATTCAGGGGTGAGCAGCTAGCAGCTTTAATTCTTATTGTTACGTGCGGCACAGCCCGTCTCTCGTTTGTCGAAGCAGAGATGGTGAAATCCCCATTTGTACTTTTTTTTTTTTTTCCCCCCGGAGAAAAGTCGACAACGGTGATTTCAGGAGCGAGCTATTTGCTACTGTAATTCTTGTTGACGGGACATTTCTCGCGAGTCAACTGTGGTAAGATTCGGCAGGTAATAACTCGATGCTTTATTTCTTATTGTCACGTGGTACACTTGATCTCTCATTCATCAAAACGGGGAAAGTGGAATCATTTTTGCAGGGGGCGGGAAAAATGATGATTAGATTCAGGGGCTCGCCGCTAAAAGCTTTAATTCTTACTATTCAGTGGCCGGAAGTTCGTCACTCGTTTGCCCAAAACGTAGAAACGTTTCCCCTTTTTTTATGAGGGCAGAAAAGAGGATGTGTCGTCATCATCGGCTCGTTGGAACTCAAAGTTGGTCACAGTCGTTGAGGTCGGTTGCTAGCTTTAATTCTCATCATTAAACATTCCTTTTTTTTTTTTTAATTGATGAGAAGAAGCCGACAACCCGTCTCTTGGTTCAGTCGGATTGCAGCAACTAGCACCTCATAGCTGCTAACACTTGTTAGCTGGAGACTGTGGTGAGCGGTCTGTGTCTAAATCTCAAAATTGTGTACGCAAGCTTGAATTCTTACCTTTCTCCCCGTCCTCCAGACATTCAACCAATCTTCTTTTTTTTTTTTTCCACGCGCCATTACCTGAAGAGCAGGAAGGCGACGTTTAAAGGGGGAGACTTCATCAAAAACGATCCACACCGGTGTCACAAATAGAAACACTTGCGTCTTTCATTTGAAGCCAAACGTCTCCAGAGAGAAACGAGGACAAATTACAAGATGTTTTTGTGGTGACTTGCTCGCTTTAATTCACAAAGCAATTACTTTTTTTTTTTTTTTTCCCCCTCCCACTTGAAGCAGAAAGCGAGCGAGCGGCAAAGTAGAGTGCGATGCAAAATATACGAAGGATGGGCACGTCGGAATGCCAGAAACATGACGACCACCCCTTCTCCTTCAAGGGTAGGGCACAAAGTAGAATCTCAAGCCTGATGTGGGATTTTAAACCAAGCCCAGGGTAGGGCTTCAAACTGCAAAGACAAGCCAGGGTTAGGGTTTCAATTCAAGGTTTCAAACTAGTGTTCCGATTGGTGATGAGTTTCAGATTTGAAGACTGGGGTGGGTGTTTCAAGATCGGGTTCAAAACGACGCTTTCAAGACGGGGTAGGGTTCACGAGAAAGCTTATGGTTTCAAGCGTGGCTTACAATTTCCAATTAGGACTTAAAAATTGGGGTTTCAAAATGACCGTTTCAAACATGATGCGGTCTTGATCTTGGGCGCACGAGACGCGCGGTCCGTTCAAGTCGAGAATGTGTGGTGTCGTATCCGTGCTCTTGAATGGCGTGTCACTGATAAGCTGACATTCCACACATCCCCAAAAACTCAACCCAGACCTCGGGAGGGTCTTGAGGGTGAGGAGGTCCAGGCTGCTTCATTAAATCAAAGACAAGCGGGGGCGGGGCCGGGTCACCGTGGGGGGGGGGGGGCGTTTGACCGCTTAAGCGGGTCAGCGGCCAAAAGTTTCACAAGCAGCAAAAGCTGACAACAGGCCTTTTTTTCCTCTCCTCCCCCCAGAATTGCCACCGGATCTCAACTTCGGCATGTACGTCCTCCGTCCAGTCAAAAATGTTGATTCCACATCGGCAGTTCCGCGCTTCCGTAGAAAAACAGCTGCCGATTATGTTGATGATGATGATCGCGCTTTCCAAATCTTTTTTGTGAATCCATCCATATTTTAACACATTACAACAAAAAACATGGCATTATAGCCAACATTTTAAAAACTGGAGATTTTTGCTGGGGTTTTTTTTCTCTCCATCGTGCCCTTAAACAAAAACGTGTTCTGCCCGTCATCTTTGTTGTTGTTAAGTGTTAAGCGACCCAAAAGATGTTATTTTAGTCCTCAAGTAGGTTTTAAAGGACTCGGTTTTTTTTTTGAAAATCGTATTCTGAAAAGCTTCTGAAATGGCTTTGGTCTCCGAACGGAAGGTTTGGAATGGGCGATCAAGCAGAGAAGCCAAAGAGCAATGTAGCCAATCAAAAGCGTGAAGAAAGTCATTTGTAGGGGGGGAAAAGACGCCAGAACAACAACGGCGACCAAGACGAAGAATTGGGACGGGAAAAAAACCCCCTGCATGTCAGCGGTGCTGTTTTAAAAAATAATACAGCAATTTTGGGAAGCCCCGTTTTAAAACAACGTCGGTTCCAACAGAATGTGCCGCATTGGTGTACTTTTTACAGCCTATTATTGTGTCCTTGTTTTTTTTTTTTGTTTTCTCATGGAAGATTGTTGTCATTTGGAGGCGTGGTGACCTCGTGCTGACTGACAAATTGTCACTGAGTGCAACTCCCCCCCCAAATCCAAATAAATCAACTCATCGTTGGGCTTTCACGCGCAAACCGCCAAACGATTGATTGATAGCAATTTTGCAGCGTCTTTTTCTTGGAGCCTTGTGACGCTTGGAAGGGGGACGTCGGGTCTAACGGCCGCGTCGGCCAGGCCGCCATCGGCTGGCTGGCCCACGCCTAAAAAGGCTGCAAAAAGTGCT